GTGAGTGTTCTTGGTCCCTTTATTAAATACCCGGTGGCTGAAATTTCATGTACTCATATTGGGTCTTCAATTTTGTTCCATTGATCTATGGGGTCTATTTTAGTGCCAGTACCATGTTGTTTTTATGACTATAGCTCTGTAATACAGTTTAATATCTGGAATAGTAATCCCCCCAGCATTGCTTTTAGTGCTTAGGGTTGCTTTGGCTATCTGAGGTCTTTTGTGATTCCATATGAATATTAGGATGGTTTTTTTCCAATTGTGTGAAGAATGTCATGGGGATTTTGATTGGCTTTACATTGAATCTATAAATGGCTTTCAGTAGGATGGTCATTTTCACAATATTAATTCTTCCAATCCATGAGCATGGGAGGTCCTTCTATGTTCTGATGTCTTCCTCTATCTCTTTCTTTAAAGGTTTAAACATTGTAGACGTCTTTAATGTTTTTGGTCAGGTTTATTCCTTTTTTGCAGCTATTGTGAAAAGGAGTGTTTCCATGTGCTCTTTCTCTGATTGCTTGTTATTGGTATATAAAAAGGGTATAGACTTTTGTAAGTTAATTTTGTAACCTGCCACTTTACTGAAGGTGTTAATAATTTCTCAGAGTTTTCAGGTGGAATTTTTGGCATCCCTTAGATATATTATCATATCATCTGCAAACAGGGATAATTTGATCTCTTCTTTTCCAATTAGTACTTCTTTAATTTCCTTCTCTTGTCTTATTGCTCTTGCAAGAGTTTCAAGTACTATGTTAAAGAGAAGTGGGGATAGCGGGCAGCCTTGTCTGGTTCCTGATTTCAATGGGAATGCTTCCAGTTTTTCTCCATTTAGAATGATGTTGGCTGTGGGTTTGTTATATATGGCTTTAATTATGTTGAGGTATGTTCCCTCCAGTCCAATTCTCTCTAGAACTTTAAACATAAAAGCATGTTGAATTTTGTCAAAGGCCTTCTCTGCATCTATTGAAATGACCATGTGGTTCTTGTCGTTGAGCCCATTTATGTGATTTATGACATTTATTGACTTACATATATTGAACCATCCCTGCATCTCTGGAATAAAGCCAGCTTGATCATGGTGGATGATCCTTTTGATGTGTGTCTGTATGTGGTTTGCAAGTATTTTACTGAGAATTTTTGCATCTATGTTCATTAAGGATATGGGTCTATAGTTTTCTTTTTTGGTTGTATCTTTACCAGGCTTTGGTATGAGAGTGATGCTGGCTTCAGGAAATATTTTTAAATAGGTCAGGGAATTACTACGAAAAATGACAGTACAAGAGTTAGGAACATCTGTCCCTCAAAATCAAAACTCTAGTATGTTTGATATTGTCCCTCCTAAAATCAGTGTTGGAACTTAGCCCTCAGTGTATTGGTGTTAAGAGGCCTGGCTTTGGGAAGTTAAGTCTGAGGGCTCCACTGTCCTAAATGGAATTGGTAACTTTGGGCTCAATATTGACAGTAGTGATGCCCATGCCTGCGACCACGTGAGGACACAGCAACAAGGTTCTCTCTTGGAGGCAGAGAGTACCTCTCACCAGACATACCCCCAGTGCCTTCATCTTAGACTTCTCAGCCTCTAGAACTACAAAGAATAACATTTTTATTCTTTACAGATTATCTACTCTTAGGTATTTTGTTATAGGAACACTAGATACAGAAAAATTCAATTGAGAAAAAGAACTTTTAAAGTGGTAGATGTATTTATTTTTTGGATCATGGTGCTATGACTGTGTACTTATTTCAAAGTTCACCAAACTGTATACAGTAATCATGTATGTGCTTACATATCAATTATGTAAAATTATTCCTCCCTAAATCCAGGGAAGATATGAAGACCCAGAGTAAATATGCATGGCGTGACCCATTCATCTAAACAGAGGGAAAAATGGAAAGTAGTAGTATTGGTATGAGCATAGAGATCCTGTTCCTAACAGCAATTAAATTCCCAAGCCCAACATGATCTTTGTTTTTATTTTTTATTGATTTTTTTTACAATTTTCATACAATATAATTTGATGGTATTTAGATCACCTCCCCTAACCCTGTCTCTCCTTATTGGCCCGGGCCCAATTTAATGTACTCTAATACACACACACACACACACACACACACACACACACACAGGCACACACACACACACATGCACATTGGTCAGTTGTGGGTTATATTATATATATAAGTATATGGAGTGTAATTTGTGTCCACCAATGTCCTTCAGTGTGGGTCCATCCCCTGGAGCCTGGTTAGCCCATCAAAAGTCCCATCCTTGAAAGAGACCGTCTCTTCTTCTCATAGAAGCTATCTCTTGCCACACTTTCCTTAGGTTTGGTTGGACTTTCTTCCCACTTCCCCATGTCTATGCTGGGATTTTGTCTGATTTGAGCTTGCATGGGACTTCCCCATGCTGTTGCCACTGCCGTGAGTTCATATGTGTAACTGACCAGCTGCCTGGAAAACTCTGTTTCCTTGTGGTTATCCACCACCTCTGGCTCTTACAATCTTTCCACCCCCTCTTCAACAATGATTCCTGAGCCTTGGGAGACAGAAGTTTGATATAAGAGTCCTATTCAGGATGAGCACTCTGCAGCCTCTTGTTCTCTGCACATTGGTCAGTTGTGGGTTTCCATGTTAATCACCACCTGCTGCTTAAGGAAACTTCTCTGATGAGAACTGAGAGATGCGTTAACCTATTGGTATGACATAGGAGTCAGTTTAATATGATAACTGTTTAGTAGAAAACTAGTATTAGGTTCACCCCTAAGTCCTGTGAACTATTTAGCCTCAGGTTCCTAAGCCTGATATCAGCGTCAGGTGTGGGCTTTATCCTATGATGTGGACCTTAAATTCAATTAAAGAGTGGTTAGTTACTTCCATAATATTCATGCCAGTATTTCATGAATGGGCATATTTGACCAGGTCAGATGTTTTTGTAGTTCAAAGTATTCACAGCTGGGTAAGGCTGATGATTATTCTTTCTTTCTGGTAGCATGCATAGCACCTTCCAGTGCTTTGAAAGCTAGCCAGGAGAGAGGAGGGTCTGAAGTTATCACCAGCTTGATTTCTCCTTTTTTGTTCTATAGCTCATGCATATAAGTGTCTTCAGTAATAGGTTCTTATCATCTACTGCTGGTGGGTAAGCAAGAGCAAGGGCAATGACCAGACTTATATGAGGATCTACGGGACACCTTGTCAACAGCTTCTCATGACGGAGTCCATTCCTGGCATTCGGGATTTTTTTTTTCCATTAGCCCATCATGTCTAGAAGGGGCAATGTCCCCTTGTTACAGAATAACTTCCTTTAATCTCTTAATGTATCTGTATATTCTTTAAGAAGCTTCTATAATGGCAGGTTTCCATGTGGCTTTTCCTGAAGGCCTTTAGTGTTACTGATCCTTCTCATACTCCCTCCTCTGCCCTGCCCTCCCATTCCCACCCCATTTAACCCTTCCTTCACTAATGTTCCTTTTTTCCCTTCATATCACTGTATCTATCACCCCTCCCAGGAATCACCCTCTACCCCATGGGTAGAATTGTTTCCTGACCTCGCTGAGTTTTCAAATTGAAATCTGCATGAGTTTTCAAAGCTAGCATCCAACCCATCACCTCTGGTTCTTACAATCTTTTGCCTCCTCTTCAGTAATGATCCTTGAGCCTTGGGAGGTAGAAGCCAAGCATTTAAAAAAAAAAAAAAGCTTAATTTTTTATGTTTTATTTCTCTGTGGCCAAGTTATCCAAAACCCAGTACTTACAATTATTTAAAATTTATGAATGTGAGAAATTAATTTTATCCATAAAAAAGCTTTGTTCTTAGGCATTAAAAAATATTGAAGGACCAGCAAGGTGACTCAGTGGGTAAAGGTTCTTACCACCAAGCCTGATGACCTGAGTTCAATCTGTAGAACCTACACCGTAGAAGGAAAGAACCAGCTCCTAAAATTGTCCTCTGACCTCCACATGTGTGTTGTGGCACAAGCATGCCTCACACATACGTATGCCAATAAGTAAATGTAAAAAACATATAAACCGTAGAGTTAGCTCATTGAGCAAATACAGATGATGAGGCACAGATGCAAGGAACAGGGCTGCTGGATACAGCTACAAGAGGTTACAGGGCCCCAAAGATGCTCTGAGAGAAAAGTTGGATTCCTCCACGAAAGCGGACGGGAATAGAAATAAACCTTATTTCCTTTGCATTCATTTGATCAGCCTGTCCATGCTGAACACTGTCTGCAGCAAGAGAAGATTCTGATGATCTGAGTGTACCTCAGCCCAGAAAAACCACTGTGTTGCTCTGCCTGGGGCTCCAAACACCCCTCCTGTTTGCTAGTAGTAAGAGTACGGCAGCGTTTAGTGACACAAGACTTTTCTTTTGGTCAGTCACGCTGTCTTGGACCTTCATTTGGTTCATGCGTCCAGTGAGAGAGGTCATTGGTTCTGTGAGCTCATGAGCCAAGGAAGCAAGGAGGAGGCTTGCTTGAAGAAAAGAGGGCTCCAAATGTAGGAAAGATGATTGGAACCTCATATGGGGTGCTTCCTTCATTTCTTAGAGTACTTGCTTGTTCCTCTCTGAGTCCCTTTGCTTATTTTCCAGCCCACATTTATTGAGTCTTTCTTTATTCTCCCGGATGGTTGCACTTTTAAGTCTTTGCACAGCAGCCACATATCTGCTAATGCTGTTGGATATGTCAGGAAATGACGTGAATCTCAGTCATAGATTCAGTTGTTTCTATCTTATTTTGTGCATGCGTGTGTGTGCGTGTGTGTGCGCGCGTGCATGTGTGCGTGTGTGCGTGTGTGTGTGTGTGTGTGTGTGGTGTGTTTCTGGAGAATGAGAATTATGAAACACCATCAAGCACACTCACTCGTGCTTCATTCATTTTAAGGTGGAATCTCAGGATGATGCTACATGCTCTGTGGACACTGTGGACCTTGGCAGCCACGATGGGCCTCCCCAGGGAAAGCGCTTCTGATCAGGTTTCTCTAACCTGTGATGCTGCCGGTGTGTGTGATGGCCGGTCCAGGTCTTTCAACTCCATTCCTTCAGGACTCAGGGAAGATGTGAAGAGCCTAGATCTGTCTAACAACAAGATCACCTATATTGGCCACAGTGACCTGCAGGCGTGTGTGAACCTCCAGGCTCTGATGCTGAAATCCAATGGAATCAGCACAATAGAGGAAGACGCCTTTTCTTCCCTGGGAAATCTCAAGCACTTAGACTTATCTGATAATCACTTATCTAATTTATTTTCCTCTTGGTTCAGGCCCCTCCTCTCCTTGAAATACTTAAACTTACTGGGAAACCCTTATAGAACACTTGGGGAAACACCACTTTTTTCCAACCTCACAAATTTACAAGTCCTCAGAGTGGGAAATGCGTATCCCTTCACTGGGATTAGGAGAATAGATTTTACTGGCCTCACTTCTCTTGATGAACTTGAAATTAATGCATCAAATCTCCAGAGCTATGAGCCAGAAAGTCTGAGGTCCGTTGGCAGCATCCGTCACCTGATCATTTGCCTAAGGCAGTCTACTTTGGTGCTGGACATTTTTGCAGATCTTTTAAGTTCGGTAGAATATTTAGAACTGAGAGATACTAATTTGGCCACCTTCCACTTTTCAGAACTGTCTGTCAATGAAATAAACCCAAGGATTAAAAAGTTAGGATTCAGAAACATCTATTTCACTGATGGAAGTTTCAACGAGCTTCTGAAGGTGCTGAGTTACACTCCTGCACTGTTACAGACAGAATTTGATGACTGCACGCTTAATGGAGTTGGCGATTTTACGCCTGAGCTAGACAAGGTGAGGGATCTAGGGAAAGTAGAAACATTAATAATCCGGAGGTTGCATATCCCTAAATTTTATTTATTTTATGATCTCAGTAGTGTATATTCACTCCTGGAGAAAGTTAAACGAATCACAGTGGAAAACAGTAAAGTTTTCCTGGTTCCTTGTTCATTTTCACAACGTTTAAAATCATTAGAATACTTGGATCTCAGTGAAAATTTGATGGTTGAAGAGTACTTGAAATATTCAGCCTGTGAAGATGGCTGGCCCTTCCTACAAACCTTAATTTTAAGGCAAAATCATTTGACATCAATAGAAAAGACTGGAGAGAGTTTACTGACTCTGAGAAACCTGACTAACCTTGACATCAGTAGGAATAGTTTTCATTCTATGCCTGACATTTGTCTGTGGCCAGAAAAGATGAGATACTTGAACTTGTCTAGTACACGAATAAACAAGGTAACTCCCTGTATTCCCCAGACACTGGAAGTCTTAGATGTTAGCAATAACAATCTTGATTCATTTTCTTTGCTTTTGCCTCGGCTCCAAGAGCTTTATATTTCCAGAAATAAATTGAAGACTCTTCCAGATGCTTCATTGTTCCCAGTGTTACTGGTCATGAAAATCACCAACAATACAATCAGTACTTTCTCTAAGGAGCTGCTTGATTTTTTCCCCAAACTAGAGACTCTGGAAGCAGGTGGCAACCACTTCATCTGCTCCTGTGAATTCCTGTCCTTCACACTACAACAGCCAGCACTGGCCGAGATCCTGGTGGACTGGCCAGACAGCTACCTCTGTGACTCTCCATCCCATCTGAGGGGTCAGCGGGTTCAGGATGCCCGGCCCTCAGTCGCTGAGTGTTACCAGGCTGCACTTGGGTCTGGTGTATGCTGTGCCCTTCTGTTGTTGATCCTGCTCACGGTGGGCCTGTGCTACCATTTCCATGGGCTGTGGTACATGAGAATGATGTGGGCATGGCTCCAGGCCAAAAGGAAGCCCAGGAAAGTGCCTTGCAGGGACATCTGCTATGATGCATTTGTTTCCTACAGTGAGCAGGATTCCTACTGGGTGGAGAACCTCATGGTCCAGCAGCTGGAGAACTTTGAGCCCCCCTTCAAGCTATGTCTCCACAAGCGGGATTTTGTCCCTGGCAAGTGGATCATTGACAACATCATTGATTCCATTGAAAAGAGTCACAAGACTGTGTTTGTGCTTTCTGAAAACTTTGTGAAGAGCGAGTGGTGCAAGTACGAACTGGACTTCTCCCACTTCCGTCTCTTTGATGAGAACAACGATGCTGCTATCCTTGTCCTTCTGGAGCCCATTGAGAAAAAAGCCATTCCCCAACGCTTCTGTAAGCTGAGGAGGATAATGAACACAAAGACCTACCTGGAGTGGCCAGTGGATGAAGCTCAGCAGGAAGGGTTCTGGGTAAATCTGAGAACTGCAATCAAGTCTTAGGCTCTCCATGCACGGTCTTTCTTGCCTTTGCCATGGTCTTTATGTCACTGGCTGTAACAAAGTTCATTCTGGCATAATTACATAAATACCATAGAATGTACTCTTGAGGCTTTGTTATGTAATTTAATAACCTGTGAGCTTTATCTTGAATGTTAGTGTATAAAATATTTTACATTAGGAAAATGGTTTGGGGACTTTTTTTTTAATTCTATGGAGAGATGGTCAAGATCGTTTTCCAGTATCAGCACCTGAATCTTTCACTTAGCTCCTCTGGAAATGGTACACGTGGACTGCAGATTTTATGTCTGTGTGCCATTGGTCTGCTTTCTGTATGTAGGTGGCTACATACCATTCTCTAGTCTGCCTACCTGCCATCCGTCTGTGTGATGATCTCAAGAGCAGTGAGTCAAAATATTTGGGGTATTCAGGCAAGTTTGTTGCTATGTCTAGAAAAAGGGCTGTGTAAGCCTTTTAGCACAAAATACCACAGGGTGTATCTTCATGTGAACTGTATCTGGTTTTCTGGGTATTTGATAAGTTTCTCCAGATGTAATTCCTTGAATGAGGATACATAACACAAGATACTGTAAATTATGTCTTACCAAGAGAACAGAAGCTATTGAAAATCAATAAAATACTTAGGAGAATTTGAAAGAATCTCCCGGTATCCCGATGCAGATCTGTTCGCCTTCAGCTGTCAGTTTCTAATTAGTGCCTGACTACTGGGACCCCTGTTTCCCCCAGACATTCTGTTGCTGTTTTCTCTTGTGAAGCCTTCTTCCTGATTCTACCAAAACTTTCCCCTTTCTTTCAGAAGAAAAATTAAAAATACATGTGGGCAAAAGATTTAAAAAATTATATACCTAGAGGTTCCTTGTTACTTGAGACCAACTCTGTACACAATAATTTGAAGACAGATACCATACCTTATTTAGCTTTTAGATGCAGGATTTAAAAATGTATCAAAATCTGCCACAATATTGTTTGCTAAGACTTATTTTGTTGCTTAGTGACTCTTAGTGACTTTTTAAAAATTTATTTATTTTTATTTTATGTGTGTGAGTGTTTTGCCTACATGTACCTAAGTGTATCACACTTAGATACATGTCCAAAGAGGCCAGATTAAGGTGTTGAATCCCCTGGAACTGGAGTTGCAGGGAGCTGTTAGCTGCAGTGTGGGTGTTGGAAATTGAACTTGGGTCCTCTATAAGAGCAACCAGTGCTCTTAACCACTGGGTCATCTCTCCAGTCCCCGTCTCAGGAACTTTTGTCTTATGCTGGGACCCATATAACTGATCTCTGTTCAGTTCTCAGCCAGAGCTACATTTATGTGGTTAATTGCGTTTGGGAGTCAGTGACATCTGAGTTAGTAGATATAATCTTGGGCAAGTCACTTGACCTAACCCACAATATTTTCCTGTCCTTAAAATAGGTAGTGATCTGTACATGCCAGAGAGTTTACGATACAGTGGTGTAAGAAAGTCACTGAGCACACACTTCCTGGTTACCATTGGAGGGGTTGTGAGGGCTGGAGTATTAGGCCAGAGTGAATGCAACCTATGGGTGCATAGAATAAGAAGGATGTCTGTTGTAGATGCTTTTGATCATTATGATTTACTTCTCTGTGTATATGTTTATATGTAAATATTTCCCTACTATGTACACTGGCAGAGATCTAAGTGGTCTTGTTATTCATAGAAAAATACTCACAAGAAAGAAGTTCAACAGTGTGTAACGAGCTTTAGTGTGTGGGGAACTTATATAATGCCTTTTCCTCTCATGAACTCCCAGGGGGAATGTTGGGAAGAAAACATAAACCAGCCTGTGAAATAAGGAGACATACCAAGAAGAAGGAACTTTGAGAAGACGCCGCAGAAATCCAACACAGGAATGAACTTTCTGCTTTACTTTTCCATTTCTTAAATGATAACTGTGGAATCATGAGAACCAGAAAGATTAAATATAGACTTAATTTATGTATTTAGTTAGAATATGCTGACTTGATCCATTATATATTTTTGAGGATTTAAACAGCAATAAAAATAGTTTCACAGTTTATTAATAGATTTAAAATTACCTTTACTGCTCAGAGCTCAGCAAACCACCAGAGAGTGCAGGGTTCTGGCCTCCTTCTGGCCTCCAACTACCTTCTGGCCTGAGAACCCAGGGGACAGCCTGACAGGCCCCGGATCCTGCCTCCATGTGGTGGTGAGCTTCCCCTAATTGCACCATACCATCCCCCTACCTGGGATTTTGTGAGGCCCCTCCCAAGGCCCCAGGGCAGGTCTGGCTTTCCTAGGCTAAGGCTGGGATCTCAGCAGACCACCAGAGAGTGCCAAATCCTGGCCCCCCTCTGGCCTTCCTCTGACATAGGCTTGATAATGCCCAGGACTGCCTGAGAGAGCCAGGATCCTGCCTCCATGTGGTGAAGGAAGCCTGAGTGTACCTGACTGGAACTTGAATAGCTGATCTGAAGCCATCAGTTCCCTCCAAAATAAACCTGAGAGAACCTGAACCCTGTACCAACCAACTTTACATAACCAGTAAAGAAAGGACCTAGGCACCTGGATTATATAAACAGAAGCATACGTCAACTTAATTCTCATATCAGAATCATAAGCAACAAAAGAAATTCACATGTCAAAAGCTAAATGAAAGAATAATAAAATGGAAAGCCCAAACACTATGTCTCCAGCAAAGCCCACAAACCCTGTAGAAGAGTTCTATTCTACAAGGAGAACCCCCTAGAGATAACCCAGGACACTGAATTTAAAAGAACAACCATAAACATGATCAAGGAATTCAATGAATTTAAAGAACGCATGAACAAAGAGCTGAAAGATGATAGGGATAAACTGCTGAATGATGTCACCAAGCTCTGGAGCACCCAAATTCATAAAAACACTAAAGGACTTTAAGATACAGATTAACTCCAACACAGTAATAGTAGGGGTCTCCAATACCCCAGTGTTCTCCATTAGACAGGTCGACTGGACAAAGAATAAACAGAGAGAGGTCTGAATTAAATACTACACATCAAATGAAACTAACAGACGTTACAGAAGACCAGGGTTTGAATCCAAGCACTCTCGTGGCAGCTAAGAACCATAACCATCTGTAGCTCCAGTTCCAGGGGATCTGACACCCTCTTCTGTCCCCTGCAGGAACTGCACAACACGTGGGCTCTTGCACCCATGTAGGCATAACACTCATACACATAAAATAAAGTAGTTAAAAATATTTTTTAAAAATTTAAATAGAAGACCAAATAGGATCAGAATAGAAATTCCCCATAACATATCATAGTGAAAACACTAAATTTACAGAACAAAGAGAGAACACTGAAAGCTGCAAAAGAAAAACAAGTCATATACAAAGGAAAGCCCATCAGAATTACAGCTGATGTATCAACGCAAACTATGAAAGCCAGAAGAGTCTGGTATTTCCATTTTCAGTTCTACATGACAATAGATGCCAGCTCAGAATACTTTACCCAGCAAAAATGTCTATTATAGTTCAGGGGGAAAGAAAAATCTTCCATGACACGAACAACCTGAAAGAATACATGTCCACAAACCCAGCTCTTCTAAGAATATGTAAAGCAATACAGAGAGAAGAGAAAGAAACATCTATACCATAAGGGCAATGAAAGAAAATAAAGATATAATCTAGGAGACACAAAATTACACAGAGAACATAAACAGCAATCAAAATGACAGCAACGAATACACACCTTTCAATAATAACCTTAAATATCAATGGACTGAACTCCCCAGTCAAAAGACACAGGCTAAGGAAATGGATTAAGAAACAAAATGCATCTCTTTGTTGTCTGCAAGAATCCCATGTCACCTTCAAGGACAGGTACTACCTTAAGGTAAAAGGATGGGAAAGAATATTCCAAGCAAATGGCACTAAGAAACAAGGAGGGGTTGCAATTCTAATATCTGACAAAATAGACTTCAAAAAAATTAATATTGTTAAAATGACCATCCTACCAAAAGCAATGTATAGATTCAATGCAATCCCAATCAAAATCCCCATGACATACTTCACAGAATTAGAAAAATTCATCCTTAAATTCATATGGAGGCACAAAAGACACTGGAAAGCCAAAGCCACCCTGAGCACAAAGAGCAATGCTGGGGGTATTACTATACCAGATCTCAAAGTATACTACAGAGCCATAGTCATAAAAACAGCATGGTACTGGCACAAAAACAGACATATAGATCAATGGAACATCATTGAAGATCCAAACCTGAGTACATGAAATTTCAGCCACTTGATATTTGACAAAGGTGCCAAGAGCACAATGGAAGAAAGATAGCATCTTTAACAAATGGTGCTGGCAAAACTGGATCTCCACCTGTAGAAGAATGAAACCAGATCCTTATCTTTCACCTTGCTCAAAAGTCAACTCCAGATGGATCAAAGACCTCAATGTGAAACTGGAAACCCAGAAATTATTAGAAGAAAATATTGGCAGTAACTTACAAGATATAGGTATAGGAAAGGGCTTTCTAAATCAGATGGAAGTTGTTCAGGAATTAAGGTCAACAATCAATAAGTGGGACCTCATTAAACTAAGAAGCTTCTGCACAGCAAAAGTAACAATTAAAAAAGTGAGGAGAAAACCCAGAGAATGGAAAAAAACTTCACCAGTGACACATCTGACAGAGGTTTAACATCCAGAATATATAAAGAACTCAAAAAACAAAGAATTGAGAAACCAAATGACCCAATGAAAAGATGGACTAAAGATCCAAACAGAGAGTTCTCAAAGGAAGAAATAAAGATGGCTAAGAAACATCTCAAAAAGTATTCAACATCGTTAAAAATTAGGGAAATGCAAATTAAAACCATGCTAAGGTATCACCCCAGTCAGACTAGCTAGGATCAAGAGAAGAAATGATACCAAATGCTGGCGAGGATGTGAAGAAAGGGGAACATTCATTGCTGGTGGGATTGCAAACTTGTGTAGCCTCTGTGGAAAACAGTGTGGAGAACTCTTAAAAAACTAAAAATGAGCTTATCATATGACCCGGTTATATCACTCCTTGGCATATACCCAACAAACTCATCCTATTGTAGAGACACTTGAACAACGTTTATTGCTGCTCTTTTCACAATAGCTAAGATGGAAGCAACCTAAGTGTCCTTCAACTGATGAGTGGTTAACAAAAATGTGGTATATTTACACAAAGCCGTTCTATTCAGCAGTAAAGAAAGATGAAATAATGAAATTTGCAGGTAAATGGATGAATCTAGAAACTGTTATACTAAGTAAAGTAACACAGACTCAGAAAAACAAATGACATATGTTCTCCCTCATATGTGGCTCCTAGCACCAAATCCTTTTAAATTCCAGGTCCTTTTAATAAGATGATGCTATACAGCAGTCCCTTATGCATGAAATAACTACCATCATCACAACTTTGGCTGAACCTGATCACTAAACAATCACAATTGGGCTTGTTAACGGTGGTGCTCATTCATTAAAGGAGTGCCAAGCAGGGTCACTGGACCCTCACCTGAGTATCGAGCCACTCTTCCCAGCCAACTATTTCAGCCTTGGAAGACAAAAGAAAAATGAGGAAGAACCCAATAGAAGGATGCTTTTGGAAGCCCTTGTCAAGAAACTCCAATGGACT